AACTGCTAGAACTGTAAAATAAATTTAATGTCGTCAGAGAAAACCCTCTGTGCAACCAGAATGGAGCTACACGCTTTCTATTTCTATATTTACATTAAAGATTAAAATAAAATTCAGCATACCTCGGTTTCCAGTGAATTAAAGCTACATAAACGCTAGCTTCGTTTTGTCATGTTGATGGGACTTTGTGCCCTCAGCTTTGACTGCAAGGCAACACCGCCCGCCTTCGTTTACCTCTATAATCGCAGCTCCGTTTTAAAATTATAAAGTAAAATTTGCCCAACGCCAATACCTAGATGAACAACTTTTATGATAGCTTTGATTTAAACTTAAAAATAGTTAAAAAAAAAATTAAATTGATTAAACTTTTAATTATAAATCATGAAATATCCTAGTGAATCACACTCCATAGTACAAGGGAAAAAACAATGCCTACATTAAAATAAATAACATTGAACAAAAAGCAACACGTTTAACACCGTTTATTCGCTTTAGCTAATATATATTTTTTCCTTGCAGACAAGTCTGAGGGGAGTAATACACATAATTTTAATCTTCCCTCGTGACGATCTCTAGCGTCTTGCTTCCTATTGGACAGCACGCGGACAATTGTCCAATCACGTCATTGGTGTTCGGACCACAGAGTGGTGGTGCGTTCACGAATCACTGTAAATAAGCATTGTTTATCTTTGACATTGTTTTCTCATGTGAAGTAAGTTTTTTTTTGTTAACTATTATTTATAAAATCATAACATTTGTATTTGTATTAATATTTAGATAAAAAAAAAACACAATAACTACAAACTTGTGTACAAAGTGCCCATTGAATTTGTTTGTTGTATAATCAATCACTCTGCGGGGGTGTTAAATCAATCAATTAAAGCCTAAAACGAATATTATTCATGCTCATAAGTGAAGCAACACATCTGTAAATAAACTATTGAACACATGATGGCAGTGTTACATACAAAAAAGACAAGTGAACGTAACCAGCCTGGTAGAAACACTTTTATTTCTTTTGCCGGTCAGGATGTGAAGTAATTCTACCAGCGCCACAGATGTTTTCACCCCGTTTCTTAACGTAAAAGAAGCTGTAATTCAAACACGGCACAGTGTAACACCTGAAATGAGATACTGTTGCAACAAATTTCACATTAAATTATGTATCCCTTGAGCTTTCGACTCAGTTTATGTGCACTCAGGATAAAAAAGGGTAAACCTATTAGTAGATCTCAGGGGTGGCTGTGACTTGTGTAGGTGTCAAAATTAAAAAAATAAAATTATACATAAGAAATAACACTGAACGGTAAAAGGCACCATTAACTTCATTCGGTTTTCAGCGGTTAAAATTTAGTAACGCTGAGCGGCTCCAGATTTCACGGCTTCCCCTCAGTAGCCGCTCTCGATACAGCCGGTGGCCGCGGCGTTGTCGGGACACTTGCAGGAGCGGCCGGTTGGTGTCGGTAAACACAGGTGAGTGCATCCTCCGTTGTTCCCAGAACAGTAATTTTGACCTGTTGAAGCGAAAAAGAAGACTTGTCATTAAACAGCTTGAAGGAATGCATGTTGCCCGCCGCCACATTTAAACTAACATCATGAGAAGGAATGAAGAGTCATTTTGGTTCAACCTCATAAATAACGTGCACAATCTCGTCAAGATATTGCAAGATGACCCAGAAACGCAGACTGACATAAGAAGCTTCAATATAAACACTGTATTGTTTTCTTAACTGTCAAAGGCTGCAAACTCTTACAAAATCCTAAAATAAGACACAAGGTGGCACAAGAGGCACAAAGAGTTACAAAAAGGAACAGGGAGGTACAAAGAGGCAAAACGAGGAGGTATGAAGAGGTACACGGAGATACTAAATGCACGAAAAGGTATGACGAGGTACAAGGAGGTGCAAAAAGGAGCAGAGAGGTACAAAGAGGCAAAACAAAGAGGTATGAAACGGTATACGGAAGTACTAAAAAGCACAGGAAGTTACAAAGAGACAAAACAAGGAGGTATGAAGAGGTACACAGACATACTAAAAGGCACAAGTACAAAGAAGCATAGGGAGGTACAAAGTACAAAGAGGCACAAGGAGGTACAAAGTACAAAGAGGAACAGGGAGGTATGAAGAGAAAGCACAAGACATTAAAACATGATGACACAAAGCGGTACAAAGAGGAACAGGGAGGTACAAAGAGGCAAAACAAAAAGGTATATGGAGATACTA